CATTGGCTTCCATCTTCTTCTAAAGAAGTTACCTCTTCAGTTCATTCTCAAACTATGATTGGAGGCTCACAGCAAGCCGACAAAACATCAATGAATAATCTGACTCCAGTGTTTTCTGTTTTGGGTGCCTTGGTTGGAAGTTCTTTGAATTTTGCTAAGAATGAATCTTTAGAGACTTTGGTCATGCCAAAATTGGATCAGCAGTCAAAATCAGTAGAGCTCACAAATGATGATCATCCACCATTAATCTTGAGTAAGCAGTTACAGAATAATTCCCAAAAGGAAGAAGAAAATTATCTTAAAGATCCAGAGAGACAAACAATATTTGATGTTCAACAACCAGAGCTTACTGAAAATGTAAGGCAAGAATTCCTTTTAAATAAGAGCAGTCATGTGAAAAAGCAAAGATTGCTAAAATCTAGTTGTCAGGTAAGTCAAACTACTCTTCAATCTAAATCAGATATAGAAGGTGATATAATCATTACATCTGACTCAATTTCAGATCCTCTTCCACTACAGTTTAGTAGGGAGGAGCACAAGAATTGTGAGCTTTCCCAGGACCAATCTTCCAAAGAGTCTGAGAAAACTTTATTTAAAAGTGCATTGAAACTTTTTGGTCGGCGAGAAGAATCTTCAGTAAAGATGATGACAGATGAAAAACAGCCACCTGGCTTTTTGAACCTCTTTAAAACCCAGGTGAATAAAGAAGAATCATCAAACATGGAAAGGAATGGTGATAAAACTAGGAAGCCATTATCTCAGGAGAAGAAAGAATCATCTGGTGTTTCAAATTTTTTTGGTACCCTTGGAGATTTCTTTAAAACCAATGTATCTCCTGTACAAAAGACTGAAAATATAACTATTTCTTCAATGATTGATGAAAATGAGGTGAGGTCAAGTCCTAATCCTGTTCAGCTAAAGAACCAGAATAATGGGAATATTCCTCCTGCCACAATTTCCTCTAAAGGAAAGGTTAGAGTTAGAAGTTTAAACAAACAGACTACTATTGATTACAGTGAACCAAGGGAATCATCAACTAGAGATATACAGGGTTTGGATTTGAATGAAAAAGAGGTACCCTTTAGAGATCAGCAGTCAACAGATACATCTTTTTTAACAAATAATCTCCAAGAGTCTCCTAGAGATACTTCAAAAGAAACTAGTGACATGTCTGCAATGACAGCAGCTCTGAAGTCTTTTGATAATCCTAGCCAAAGAAATTTAAATGAACAAAATCATTTTCCTGACAAAGACTGGAGTTTTTCAACTGCCACAACTTCTCCATCCCAGCCAGAACTGCCAACAAGAAAAAGTGTATTTTCCTTCTTAACTAGATCTGAAAAATATGAGAACAGAGCCTCTGTTCCTCTACCAAGAGCCAAATCTCAAGCAGAAGGACTATTCACACTTCCTTCCTTTTTCTCTGCTACTAGGTCAAGCATCAAGAAGGATACCTCTCATAATAGTTCTGCCTTTAGTTTGTTCAACTTATCGTTTTTGGATGAAAAGCAACAATCTCCTGGGGAAAAACAAAGTGTTTCACCTGGTGTTCCAGTGATTACTCAGCCCTATAAGAAGCCAAGTGTTTTTGTAGACACTAGTGACACATTGACTAAGGAAAGGCCCAGTAGTCATAGAAATAGCATAGCCCAGGAAGAAGTTTATGAACAGCAAACACCCCCTTGTACTTCCATTAGTAATACCATTGAGGTTACTTCTTTTGTACATGAGTCCAATGTAGAGGGAAATTTGAGTTCTAGTAATGAGCTAGGGACATCTTCAGATTTTCAGATGAATCACTTACAAAAAGACATTGTTTCTCCTTTACCAGAATTTCAGGCACAGGAAGACATTGTTTCTCCTTTACCAGAATCTCAGGCACAGGCTAAAACATTGCTTATTGGCCCAGAGACCCTTGGTGAAGCTCCGCATAAAGATGAGGCTGTCAATCAGAGTGCTTTACCCGATGACATACTGGCCAACTCTTTTTCTCATGAGAACCATTTGAATGGAAAGCTCAATGATTTAGATGCTTGTACTGAACATCAGAATGAAAGATTTATCATAGACACATTAAATTTACCACTAGAAAAGGGCCCTGATGAGGTTTTACCACAGATCTTCAAACCAAATGCAGCTTCTCCAGTATCAGAATGTGCAGGGCGCCTCCAAGAAGTAGATAAAGAGGAAGACAAATCAGGCTCTACAGTAGAAATGCTTTCAGGATTTGTGACCAAAGTAAAATCTTTCTCTGATTGCTTAATTGAACCCCCTAAAACCTTTTCTGGATTTTTCTCTCCTAAATCTCCAAAGAAAAATTCATTTTTTTCTCTTTCTTCTAATACATCATCACAGCCCTTCAAAAGTGAGTTGTTTGGTATTTTCAGAAGTCCCAAACCAGAGACACCTAAACAAAACTCATCTGTAGCTACATCCTTGCTTCAAAATGGTCATTCTAGAGATGCTGTGGTCTCAGCACCTACAGAATGTTTGCACAGAGAAGCTACCTCTGCAGGACTCAATTTAGATTTAACTTCCAGTGACTGTAGAATGTCTGGGATTAGTGTAAAGCCAGAATCAACTACTGTGTCAGCCAAAATGGAAACAAATAATATTCCTGAAAATATTCCAGAACCCCCAAGTTTTGAGATGGCTGCTACATCTTCTGTCTCAGAGGATGACATGGGGCAAGGAGTATTGTCTCTGAGTGATGAAGGAGACATGGGGATTTTGCAGGGTACAGACACAGAAGCATCATTGGAAACAGATCAAATATTACTGCCAAAACAGTTGCACTCAGATCCTTCCATGATTGGTGAAGATCTTTCTTCTCCAAGTCAATTACCACTTCTTGAACCAGAGCCAGCTATTCAGACTGCCTCCACAACTCAAAATTTCTTAGAGTTGCATTGTACAAATTCATTGGAAACTAATATTACATTTGACAAAGCAAGTGTCAGTGAGAGCACCACACTGAAAACTCAAGAGTCTTATTCTTGTCCTCTGCAGGAGGACTCTGTGCTTGGTGTCAGAGAAAATGGTGCGATACATACTGTCCAGAAAGACAAACCTATAGTCCCCCAGGAATCAGAGCAACCAAGACCTCCATTAGAGATCCCAAACATGACCAGTTGGCCTAAACTCCACTTCCCCTCCTCCACTGCTAATCATGGGAAGACACTGAGTTCTTTCTTTTCCTCACCACCTTCTGGCAACAGAGCAGCAGACACTGGCTTAATGTCCAGTTTCAAAAAGTTGTCAACTTTATTTGAGGGAAGTAGCGAGGGGAAAGGAAGTATGTTGGCAAGTGATCTCAAACTAGGATTTGGAAAGAAACTGGATCTTTCATTTCAATGGCCAAAAGAGAATAAAGAGGACCCTGAAAAAATGCTTGCAGAATCCACCTGTCCAGTTTTAGTTATCAATGGTGATCAGGACCTGACTCTCAGTGAAGCTAATATAGCTTTGGAGTCTTCGGAAATAACTGGGGCTTGTGCTGAGCCAAATGAAGCCTATACTCAGCACTTTGGGACCACTGAACAACTGGAGGCCAAGTCAAATGTATGTGCTGATGGGCTTTCAGAGCCTGGAGAAGCAGAAAGTCAGCTGGAAATTCCAGCATCTGGAGAATTCTGTGGTACCAAGGTCAACCTTTCTGGCTCTACCTGTCCTTCAGAGAAGCATGAGGAAGAACACTGCACTATTTTTGAGCTACTTCACAAGCCAGAAAAACAAGAAGAGGAAGTAGTGCCTGCTAGTACTGCCTCTGTTTTGAATATACAGCAGCTAGTTACTCTGAATGACTTCAAGGAACCGATGACCAAAAAAAGGCCTGTTCTCAAGTCAAGCATCATAAATGGTTTTAAGGAATTGACCATTTATGATGCAAATGTCTTAGTGGTAGATTATGGTAGCTTGCTTTTTATCCTTCATGTGTCTTTCCTATTACCTTAATTCCATGTTAATTAGGGGATTGGTGGTAAGAACTAATGTGTGAATATTTTCATCCTTTCCCTTCTCTTGGTACCAAAAGTAGTTTATTTGCTTAAAGGAGAGGCTGTGCCGTTCCTTTAAGATACTCTAGTTTGAGATTTTTCATGCTAGTTTGCTCTGCCTTGTATAATGTGGAATGGAGAAGACAGGGCAGAGAGGCTCCAAGTATTTAAGTGACATATATTAATTACAACTACATTATAGGAATAGGCTGCTTCATTGGACCTTAGGTACTTACATAATAGATGGGGAAAGACCTATTTTGCTTTGATTTTCTAAGTTGCTTCCAATAAGCTTCTGTATCTCATCCTGTAGATGGTGAGAAACTATTGAAAGGACATATCAATTCTTCTTTACTAAGGCATAGCCATACACATTTACAGTTGTAGAGAAGTAAATGAGGACTTAATTTATTAAATAATAGAAAATTGGATTATAGTTTATTTTGGCATTTTTACTCTGTGATATTAGAAAACTTTTTATCACAGCCACTGGGTAGGTTTCTTTAGAAGACCACATTAAGAATTTAGGAATAAGCAGTAGGGCATTTAATATTAATCCTATTCACAAATAACATAGGTAAAATATTGTTACTAGGGCATGTCTCAAGTGGTAGAGTATTTGCCTAGCGAGTGCAAGGTCCTGAGTTCAGTCCTTTGTACTGAACAAAAAAGAATGAAATGCAAGGAAAGGATTGAGAAAAGGAAGAAGGAAGAAAGGAAAGGGAGGAAGGAAGGGAGAGACATGGGGCGGGGAGGGACAAAGAAAATCTTTCCAAGAGCAGGGTGCTATTGGAGAACCAAGTATATTGTGCTTGTGTCGTATCCTGTTGTGATCTGCTGAATAGAGATTAAATTTTTGTAGATTGTGAAGTTTGGTTCTCTAAGTAGAAACCTCCTGTTTGTGATTGCTACCCCAATGTAATTACCTCATGGATTTACCCATACTTGTGCCTTGGTTCCCAGTTTGCATTTATTCACTCATTTGTCATCTTCTCATTCTCACAGCCCCACCAGCAGTAGTAGGTATGGCTCTTCCTGTAATGTGAGTCAAGGAAGCTCTCAGCTGAGTGAACTAGACCAGTATCCTGAACAAGATGATGATCGTCGGGAGAGGGACTCCATTCATTCCTGCCACAGCTCTGGTAGCCTCTCCAGAGATAGCAAGCCCAATTTTGGAGAACAAGAGAAAGCCTTGGAGGTGACATGTGAAGCAGAAAAAGAGAGAATATGTGAACTCAAGGAGATAAAAGAAGATGCTACAATCCATCCTCCCTCAGATCTGATACTACACAAGGACCACATCGTAGGCCCCCAGGAGAGGTAGGTGATGCTTACTCACATGTTTTCTAACTACTTGCCCTGTGGTATCACTTACTGAACATAAGTTCTTTCTCATTTGTTTTACTGAAAATGAGTATGGTAGAAGGTAAGATACCCATACTCAATTGCACTGTTTCCTTTTATTTTTGATGTAATTGTAGATATTTTGGGGTATCTCTAAAGAACACTTGGGTTTGTTGTATTTACTGATCTGCAGTGTTAGGACTCATTGAATATGCAGGGTTGTTTTTTTGTTTTTGTTTTTGTTTTGGCTGGTCCTGAGGCTTAAACTCAGGGCCTAGGTGCAGTTCCTGAGCTTCTTTTTACTCCAGGTTAGTGCCCTACCACTTGAACCACTTCCAGATTTTTGGTAGTTTAGTGGAGGTAAGGGTCTCATTGACTGTTTTTGAACCATGATCCTCAAATATCAACCTTCTGAGTAGCTAGGATTATAATCATAAGCCACTGACAGTTCTTGACCCCACATATGGCAGACTCTGAAGATGAAATAATTCGAACCCTGCAGGTAATTTCATTAGATAGCCTCATTTCTTTGGGTACTTTGGCTGTCTTGCTAACCTATTAATATTTTAGCTTATTTTGTGAATGATATTGTTCTGTTTTTTTTTTTTTTTGTCTTGTTTTGTAAAGCCAGGGTAGTTATAAAAGACTTGATTTAGGGGACAGACTTAAACTCACTCTTCTAGTTCCTCATGATATGGTAGTGAGTTTGGAAATATGTTTCTGTAAGAAAAAAACAAAAAAAAATTTTTTTTGTTTGGTGGGATTATGTATGCCTAAATTCTAACTGAGAGATCAGGGTATCAAATATCAATTACATGATCAAAGTTAAGGAATGTTAGTGCTTCTACTTTACCATGAATTATTGGATGAGTCACATACCTTTCTGAAGCTATAATTTACTTTCTTTTCATTTTAAACCCTCCCTTCTTTTTGAGCAGGGTCTTGTTATATAGCACAGGTTAACCTTAAATTCCTAGTCCTCTTGTTTCTGCTTCCCAAAAGCTGAGATGCCAGGCATGTTCCACCATGCCTGGATCATTCTTAGTTTTTAGTCATCTTTTATGGCTCATCTAATAGGTGAGATGGTCAGGAGACAGAGCTCTAGCCTAGCCTTTTTATTGGATTGATAACTCACTGAAAGACTGGTTCTTTGTGGACCTTAAATTTGGCAGTTAAATGGTCAGGGCTGAAGTTTTTGGTAGAGAAGTGGATATGTCCAACATGAGTACTTGCTCTTCTCTACTTGTGTCTTCTCCGGACTTAGCTGTGTACATGAAGCCCAGTTCTATTTTGGTCAGACCTACTTTCAAGTGTTTTAGAACACTGAATTCATGTAGATGGTATCAGAGCCTAGGATATATTTTGCATACATAGGTGGTAGATATTTGTCTGCTACTTTAGCTATAGGGTCCAATGGGAGGAAGGAGAAGCATTATTACTAAATTAAGAGCCTGGATGATTACTTGTTCTAATACAAAGTAGAGTTTCTGTCTCAAATAAATTTTATTATATTTATTGTTCATTTTACAAAGATGTCCCTGAGGAAGCTCAAGGAACACAATCATGAAAAGCTGTGATTTTCTTTCTTGGCACTTTTTATGTATGTAGTCTCAGTGTTGGTAAGTCTTTCAAAATACTTAGTGAAGTAGGAAGGATTTGCAGGAATAAAATTTTGTTGTAAGAAAGCTATGAAAGGGGCTAGGAAGGTGGCTCAGTGGTAGAGTGCTTGCCTTGCATGCCTGAGGCCTTTGGTTCGATTCCTCAGCACCACATAAAAGAAAAAAGCCGGAAGTGGTGCTGTGGCTCAAGTCGTAGAGTGCTAGCCTTGAGCTGAAGAGCTGAGGGACAGCACCCAGGCCCAGAGTTCAGGCCCCACAACCAGACACCCCCCCCCAAAAAAAAAAGAAAGCTATGAAAACCTCTCGTGGAGGCTGGTGGTCTCCAAAGAGGGATTGAAAAGCTTATTATTATTATTTTTTTGGTCCAGTAGTACAGCCTGAACTCTGGGCCTGGGTGTTGTCCCTCAGCTCTTCAGCTCAAGGCTAATGCTCTACCACTTGAGCCACAGCGCCACTTCCAGCTTTTTTCTTTTTGCTTATGTGGTGCTGAGGAATCGACCCAAGGGCCTCATGCATACAAGGCAAGTGTTCTACCACTGAGCTACCTTCCCAGCCTGAAAAGCTTATTTTATACTTCTCTCTCTGCTGGGTTTCTAGTTTTGACATTGACTCATTGACTTAGGGCCCTTACCATTTCTCCCTTTCCAGTGAGCCACCTCATTGAGTAAATGGGGAAAAAAAAGAAGAGTGGGAACAGATGAAAGCTAAAAGGAGTTGTCATTTAGAGAAGAATTGTTTTTACATTAAGTATTCAGAAGAATCACTAAACAAGTATAGGCATGATTACAAATGTTTTATTTTAGATATTTTGCAATTTTGACTTCAGTTCTGTCACCTTGTGACCTTAACTATTTTTAAGAAATATTCTTCTTTGTTACAAGTCTTCCTGAGGAGAATGCATCTTCACCATTTACCCAAGCCAGAGCGCACTGGATCCGAGCAGTTACCAAGGTCCGACTCCAGCTGCAGGAGGTAGGAATTCTGTTTCAATAATGGTTGGGAAAATTTTTCCTTTGAAAATGGTAGACATATGGTGCTGGAGAAGCTTCTCAGTGATTAGTCATCTTCTTACAGTGTACTTCTGGGAATGCATGACAAGCCAGAGCTTTAAGAGATGGGAGGTAGCCTTGATTTTTTTCTGTGCTGATTAAGAGAAATTAAATAGAAGGTGAGAATTTGAAATTTGAAGTTCTATGCTTATTCTCAGTGCTACCATCTCTTTGTTGCCATTTTAGTTTGAAGTTAGGATAGAGGACTATTTCACAGTTTCTTAGTTTGACTGTTATTTTTCTTAGCCAGCCATTTCAAATACTACTGTCCTTATTTGTCCTTCTCAGTATGTCAGTAGATAGGAGATCTTCTGGCAAAAAGGATGTTTTTAAATGACAGGTGGTTGCCACTAGTATAAAACTTGGCAGATATTAAAAATGAAAAGCAAACTCACATGTGTAAATATACCCTTTAAAATTAATTCAACACTTAAGGAAAAGTTGCAAAAACAGTGGCATCATAATGCATCAGTCTTTTTCTAAACATTTGAGAGACAATTGAAGACATGATATTTGATCACTCCCAAATATCTCTCATATTTCCCTAAGAATAAAGAATAACAAAGGTATGTTTAGCATGGTAGAACTACTGATTATTAGTTGTCATAGGAGAAAGATAACCAGAGTTTAGATTGTGCCATTTATGTTTAAGATGAGATTTGCAGGCAGCCTGGTTGAGGGATTCCCTTTCCACCTAGTAATTGAACTTCCATCCATGTTTCCCCTTCCCCTTCTACCTAAGATGATGATTTTAGTTAATTATCATTGTAATTTTTGTGCAAACATAAACACATATATATGAATATATACTCTGATTCCCCTTTTGTATAGGGTAGTGTATTATACATGAGAGTGTATTTTGCCTTTTTGCTTCTCTTTCAGCACTAAGAGCAATTTTTATTTTTTTATAGCTGCATAATATTCTATAGTGTGAATGTTCTACAGTTATTTACCTACTATTGATATTCATTTGGTTATCTCAAGTCATTTGCTATATCAAGGTATTTTATAATGAGACACCTTTTAAGAATGCCATTTCATATGTATATAAATATATCTAGGGAATATGCACTTTAAAAATTTTGATACATAATGCCAAAATGCTATTTTTCAGTATCTTTTTTTTTTTTTTTTGGTCAGTTGTAGGGCTTGATCTCGGAGCCTGGGCACTGTCCCTCAGCAATTCAGTTCAAGGCTAGCACTCTACCACTTAAGCCACAGCACCACTTCCAGTTTTTTGGTGACTAATTGGAGATAAGAGTCTCTTAGACTTTGAACCATGATCCTTAGATCTCAGCCTTTGTGTAGCTAGGATTACAAGTTTCAGTATCTGAAAGCAAAACAAAACAAAACAAAGGGGCTGGGAAGGTGGCTCAGTGGTAGAGTGCTTGCCTTGCATGCCTGAGGCCCTGGGGTCAATTCCTCAGCACCACATAAAAGAAAAAAGCCGGAAGTGGCACTGTGGCTCAAGTGGTAGAGCGCTAGCCTTGAGCTGAAGAGCTGAGGGACAGTGCCCAGGCCCAGAGTTCAGGCCCCACAACCAGACCCCCCCCCCCAAAAAAAAAAGTTTATAGTCATTTGTAGTTGGCTGATATTGTATTAGATACACTTTGAGAAACTGCCAAAGCTGCACTTAAATCATTCCTATAAGATTGGCAACAACTTGAGAGAAGAGATTATATAGGGTCATTTCTGTATCCTCTGAAGCACTGGGCATATGCACTTAATAAGTGTTTGATGACATTGTTAATGCTGATGAAGCAGTAATGTGGGTAGTGTGGGTGGAAATGGATATGAATCTGTACCTTATTTGGTTTAGCTGCAGAAAAATCTGGGGGAGGAGGTGAGACTTTTAGCTCTAGAAACAGAGACTGCCATGGCAGCAGGTGGGTGGGTGTTCCAGGTGGAAGGGACAGTGAAGGAGAAGGAATGAGGATAGGCTATAAGGAAGGTTTGACAGGAACTCTTTGGCTGTTGAAAGTGAAGAAAGAGAGCCTTGGAAAGCAGGGACAGAACTGAGCAAATAAGTAGGTTTATGATTAAATGGAGCTATAACAGGAGATTCAATATTGCAGCAGGTCAGTCTGAGAAATGTATCATCATTTTCTCAGGTGTGATCACTAGGACCAAGAGCAAGTCAACCATGTCTGCATAGTTCTCTTCTAACCAGTACCTCTGTCCCAAACAGAGACTACCTATTTATCCTATAATTGAAGCCCTGAAAGAGAGAGATCTCTTCTCTCCAGAAGGAGTACGAAGCTCAAAGATAACAGGACCCTATAGGAACCCACCTTTTAAGATTTAACAAGGAAAGCACCCTTTCCATTATCTTAAAAAGTCCAGGATTTTCTCTGATCTTGACCACCTATCTTAATTTCCACTACAACTCTTAGCCTTCATGGAAACCATCAGCTTCTAATCCCTCCTTTTCCTCATACTATGTCAACCCTCTCCCTACCATTGCTATTATAACACAAAAATATTAAGATTGGAGAAAATGAGGGAGGGGGTAACAGTGTTCAAAAAGAAATGTACTCATTACCTTACTTATATAACTGTAACACCCCTGTTCATCACCTTTACTATATATATATATATATACATATATATATATGGAAAAATATTAAAGAATGTCTTTGATGAGTAAAACATATGAATATATAAAATTAAAAAGGTGTGTAATATAAAGTTTACCTCCTACTTCCTTTTAGTTATCTAAATTATATTGTTACCTGTCTGTGAAAGAGTCCAGAGATAATCCACACATTTATAAGCATATGTGTAAAATAAATGCGTATGTAGGTACATACATTATACACACTTGCTTTATCTTGCTTTTTTTCATTTACTACTGTATCTTTGAATTTCTATTTAAGTACAAATAGAGCTACTGCTCTATTAAGAACTACATAGTTTTCTAGTAGCACAAATAGAACTACTGCTTTTTAAAATAGCTACATAGTATTTCTTTCTGTGGATGTGCTATAATTTATATATTCTGTCTCCTGTTGATGGATCTTTAAAATGTTGCTTTTCCCCTCTTTATTTGGTTTGAATTCAGGGCTTCATGCTAGCACTTGACTCATCCCTCCCCAGCCCTTTTTATTTTTTATTTGTTTTTGGATAGGTTCCCATACTTTTTTTCTGGCTGGTCTCAAACTGTTGTCCTCTTATTTCTGTCTTTTGGCTAGCTGGGATTACAGATATGTACCACCAAATCCTTCCCCAAAAGGTGAATATTTAAAGATCATTCTGAATAACAGCCTGTGGCACTACTCTTAGAACTCTTAGTAAGTTTTCCCCAAGCACAGCTGTACTACAGCTTCATGGACCAGAGAAACCTTCCTCAAAGGGACCTAGATGTTGCCTTGAATGCTGACCCAGCCCTCACTTCCAACAGGCTTTTTATCTTTTGACCAATTGAATAGCTCCTACCTGATATCTGTGACCAGAAACAAAATATTTTCTACTTTCTGATCTTGATTGAAGCCTGGCTGTATTGTCAAGCACTTTTTAATGAAAGCAGTGCCTTTTTGTTTAAGTATTTCTAGGTCAGGAGTACTTAATGCTTGTTTTTCTTTGGCTTTCTCTGCCATTTCCAATTACTGTTTTCCACTTTTGATTACAATTCCTTTTAAAATATATGAACTAGCCGGGTGCCCGTGGCTCACGCCTGTAATCCTAGCTACTCAGGAGGTTGAGATCTGAGGATCTCGGTTTAAAGCCAGCCTGGGCAGGAAAGTCCATGAAACTCTTATCTCCAATAAACCACCAGAAAACTGGAAGTGGCGCTGTAGCTCAAGTGGTAGAGCGCTAGCCCTGAGCTGAAGAACTGAGGGACAGTGCTCAGGCCCAGAGTTCAAGGCCCCTGACCAACCAAAAAAATAAAGAAAAAAAATATATATTCTCTCAGCCCATTTTCTTTTTAACTTAGTACTTCGTTGAATTTTCCACCGTTTAAATTTCCTTCCATTGTGCCCTAACTCTCCCTTTTTCCTTTTCCTCTTGCTTGTCTGAAGAAGTTGGCAATACCAGCTGGGTCTCCAGAGCAACAGAAAGAAGTATTTTTTGTTGTTGTTTTTGTTTTATTTTGTGCTGCTCCTGGGGCTCTGAACTCAGGGCCTAGGTGCTGTCCCTAAGCTTTCTTCCTCCAGGCTAGTGCTCTACCACTTGAGCCAACGATGACTTCCAACATTTTTGATGGTTAATTGGAGATAAGTCTCTATGGGCTTTCCTGTCTAGGCTGCCTTTGAACCATGATCCTCAGATCTCAGCTTCCTGAGTAGCTAGGATTATAGGTATCAGCCACTCATGCCTGGCTGTTGAGGTTACTTTTAAGGTGTGGTTTTTGTTTTTGTTTTTTGTTATTTGGGTAAATGCCTAGAAGTGGGATTGCTGGGTCATAGGAGAGCTCCATGTTTAGTCTTTTGAGGCACCTCCACACTGCTTTCCAGAGTGGTTGAACAAGTTTACACTCCACCAACAGTGTAGTAGGGTTCCGTTTTGGCTATATCCCCTCCAGCATCTGTTGTTATTAGATTTCTTGATTATAGCCTGGAGTGAGATGGAATATCAATGTTGTTTTGATTTGCATTTCTTTTATGGCCAGAGATGTTGAACATTTCTTCATGTGTTTATTGGCCATTCTTATTTCCTTTTCAGAGAAGTCTCTCTTTAAGTCTTTAGCCCACTTATTAATGGGGCAATTGTTTCTTTAAGGATTTGTTTTGATGGGATTTAATTTTTTTAGTTCTAAGTATATTTTATTTTGGGTCCAGTCGTGGGCCTGAATTCTGAGCCTGGGCACTGCCCCTCAGCTCTTCAGCTCAAGTCTAGTGCTCTACCACTTGAGACACAGCACCACTTCTGGCTTTTTTTTTTTTTTTGCTTATGGGTGCTGAGGAATCGAATCTAGGGCCTCAA